TCATAACCAATTAGTTCAATGCCCCTGCCCTAATTAATCAGATGCATTAAAAATAAAGATTTGCAAAAGAAAGAAAAAATATTTTTTTCCCTCTGTTACTGGCCCTCAGCCCTCTGAAGTTAGTTTAGCAAAAGTTACAACTCTAGGTATACTCACTTGGGAGTAGGTTTCTGTGAATGGGGTTGAGTTTACTTATGCGTCAACCCACAAAGGAGTGCATCACCCACCAGGACATATTTCCTGCGTCTTGTTCAACTTGTTTGGGTGCAAGATGTGTCCAATGCTCCCTCTAAGCTGTGGAGTCTTGCGAGCAAAAATTCTACATTGTGAGCGACTGACATTAGAGTTGTGAGCGAGCGATCTGGCTGCTGCATGAATTTATTTATTTATTTAAATTTATAACCCGCCCTCCCCGCGAACGGCCTCAGGGCGGCATACAGATGGGGCCAATGCCCAGTACATAAAACATTAAAACTGCATTTTAAAAACATTCAATACAACATAAGTGCTCTCCACAATATCTAACAAGGGAACAGATGACGTCATCAGGATGGTATCCTTAGTGGCCACAGCTCCACGCAGCACCACCATTTTAGCGCTCATGGCGAGTTGGTAACAGTCGTGGCGGCTCCTACCCAAACGCCTGGCGTAAATCAGTTGGCTCTGGAGCCGTCCTCCCTGAGCTAAGACAAAAATGTATGAGCCAGAGACTAAAAAACTGTGAGCTAGCTCACACTCACTCAGCTTAGAGGGAACGCTGCAGTTGTGACCAATGCTCTCTCTAAGCTGTGGAGTCTTGTGAGCAAAAATTCTACTTTGTGAGCTACTGGCATTAAAGTTGTGAGCGAGCGATTTGGCTGCTGCATCAATTAGTTTGCTCTGGAGCCATCCCTTCCTGAGTGAAGACAAAAATGTGTGAGCCGGAGGCTAAAAAAATTGTGAGCTAGCTCACACTAACTCAGCTTAGAGGGAACACTGGCATTTGTCCCTGTTACGGTTTTGGAAATACCTGGAGATCCGGGGGAACTGATCTCTGTAGTCTGGAGATGAGCTGGAATCCCAGGAGATCTCCAGCCACCACCTGGACCTTGGCAACCTTAGTCCCTGTCCATCAGAAGCAAATTTTATCGTGACGAAGAGGGTTTGCTCTTATGTAAATGTACATAAGAGTGCAGAGTGTAGCCTGTGCGTGGTTAGAAGCAGGGATAGAGTATTAGGAGGTGATTCAGTGTCAAGCAGTGTTCCCTCTAAGCTGAGTTAGTGTGAGCTAGCTCACAGTTTTTAAGCCTCCGGCTCACAGATTTTTGTCTTGGCTCAGGAAGGAGGGCTCCAGAACACACTAATTTATGCAGTAGCCAAATCACCTGCTCACAAATTTAATGCCAGTAGCTCACAAAATAGAATTTTGCTCACAGGACTCTACAGCTTAGAGGGAACATTGGTGTCAAGTGGTCTTGACTGAGTGGCAGACTGAATGTGTCTTTTGTTAGAACAAGATGGGTAGCCGTGTTGGTCCGTACAGGGGCAGATTAACCATTAAGCAGACTAAGGACGTGCTTAGGGCACCAGGGCCAAAGAGGGCACCACAAAGTTGGGGAAAGGATGAAAAGCTTAGGTTGTACAGTATATTTGTGTTATCATATGAATACATTTTTGTATTGCTGCAACCTGCATTGTATATCTGGTCAGACAGGTCAACAACTAAAATGGACTGGGGGTCAGTGTGGAAAGGAGGGGGGCACCAAGACTGGTCGGTGCTTAGGGCACCAGTGAGCCTTCATCCGCCCCTGGGTCCGTAGCAAGAGTCCAGTGCTCCCTCTAAGCTGTGGAGTCTTGTGAGCAAAAACTCTACTTTGTGAGCTACTGGCATTAACGTTGTGAGCGAGCAATTTGGCTACGACATAAATCAGTTTGCTCTGGAGCCATCCTTCCTGAGCTAAGGCAAAGATGTGTGAGCCAGAGGCTAAAAAACTGTGAGTTAGCTCACACTAACTCAGCTTAGAGGGAGCACTGAGTAGCAGCTGAAAGACTAACAACATCTGTGGCAGGGGAGGAGCTTTCGTGAGTCACTGCCTCACTTCTTCAGAAGTTAAGTCCAGAGTTCAACTGGCACCAGCTCTGAAAATAAATACATAGTGCTTTAGCTCTGGGCTACATTCCTGTACAGTTACTTGGAACTAAATGTCACTGAATGACTTGCTTCCCGGTAAACATCCCGGGAAAACAGGCTTTCCATACTAGAAGTAAGGACAGTGATTGTCTGTAGAAAATACAGGATTGCTAACAGAGAATGCCTGCTTGCAGGGGTTTTTTGGTAGAAAAAGCCCAGCAGGAACTCATTAGCATAATAGGCCACACCCAACAGCAGAAACATTTTAGCATATTAGACCACACCCCTGACAGTGCAGCTCATTAGCATATTAGGCCACACCCCACATGTTACCAGAAGTGTGGTCATCCAACCACACCCCTCCTTCTGCTTCTTATTCTGTTTACCTTGTTTGTTGTCAAAACCCAGGGCTTTTTTTTATAGCAGGGACTCCTTTGCATGTTAGGCCACACACCCCTAATGTAGCCAATCCTAAGGAGTGTCTGCTGTTGGGTGTGGCCTATTATGCTAATGAGTTCCTGCTGGGCGTGGCCAACTCAGGAGCCAGCCGGAACTCCGTTCCTGTGCGTTCCTGCCCCAAAATAGCCCTGCCTGCTTGCCCATACGGAATAATGAGCAGGGCTGACCACAGGGAATAATGGCTAGCACCCTTGGCCAGAGCGCGCTCACCATTATTCCCAGTGGTAGGGTTACCTGATGGCCAATGCTCCCTCTAAGCTGTGCAGTCTTGTGAGCAAAAATTCTACTTTGTGAGCTGCTGGCATTAAAGTTGTGAGCGATTTGGCTACTGCATCAATTAGTTTGCTCTGGAGTCATCCTTCCTGAGCGAAGGCAAAAATCTGTGAGCCGGAGGCTAAAAAAACCTGTGAGCTAGCTCACACTAACTCAGCTTGGAGGGAACACTGTCCTCTTTGAAGAAGACATGTCCTCTTTTTTGTTTGTCCGTCCTCTTTTGGACTTAAAAAAATATGACGAAAATGTCCTTTTTTGGGGGGGGGGACGGAAGGTTAGGAATCTTCCTAGTTCATAGCAATGATCACAGCTTAAATAGCAGGGGGATCTGAAATGAGATTTGTCATGGTGATCACTTGTTTGCAGGAGTCAGTCGGGAAACAGAACAGATCAAAGGAAGTGCTTCTTCTTCCAAAGAGTCATTAACTCATGGAATTCAGTGCTGCAGGAAGTGGTGGCAGCTACAAGCACAGACAGCTTCAAGAGGGGATTGGATGAACACATGGAGCAGAGGTCCATCAGTGGCTATTAGCCACAAGGTATAGAGGAAACACTCTGTCTGGGCAGTGATGTCTTGTATTCTTGGTGCTTGGGGGGGGGGAGAGTGGAAGGGCTTCTAGTGTCCTGGCTCCGCTGGTGGACCTCCTGATGGCATCTGGGTTTTGGCCACCATGTGACACAGAGTGTTGGACTGGGTGGGCCATTGGCCTGATCCAACGTGGCTTATTTTATGCTCTTATGTTTGGGGTAGTGAAGCTCTGTCTTCTTGCTGCTTGGGGGGCAACAGTGGGAGGGCTTCTGGAGTTCTGGTCCCGCTGGGGGACCTCTGGATGGCCCCTTGTTTTTGGCCACTGTGTGACACAGAGTCATGGACTGGATGGGCCATTAGCCTGATCAAACACGGCTTCTCTTATGTTCTTAAGAGCAGAGGTCCATCAGTGGCTATTAGCCACGAGCTATAGATGGAACGCTATTATGGCTGGGACAGTGATGCTCTGTATCCTTGGTGTTTGGGGGGCAACACTGGGAGAGCTTCTGGAGTTTTGGCCCCACTGATGGACCTCCTGATTGCCCCTGGGTTTTGGCCACTGTTGGACTGGATGGGCCACTGGCCTGATCCAGCATGGCTTCTCTTATGTTCTTATGTCTGGGGCAGGGATGCTCTGTCTTCTTGGTGCTTGGGGGGGCAAGAGTGGGAGGGCTTTTGGAGTTCTGGCCCCGCTGGTGGACCTCCTGATGGCACCTGGGTTTTGGCCACTGTGTGACACAGAGTGTTGGACTGGATGGGCCACTGGCCTGATCCAACATGGCTTCTCTTATGTTCTTATGTCTGGGGCAGTGATATTCTGCATTCTTGGTGCTTGGGGGGGCAAGAGTGGGAGGGCTCCTGAAGTTCTGGCCCCACTGGTGGACCTCCTGATAGCCACGGTGTGATGTTGGACTGGATGTGCCATTGGCCTGATCCAACAGGGATTCCCTGATGTTCTAAATGTGTGGGGGTTTTTTGCTATTCAAACTAGTGGTCACCAATGTTCCCTCTAAGCTGAGTTAGTGTGAGCTAGCTCTCAAAGTAGAAAATTTTTGCTCACAAAATCCCACAGCTTAGAGGGAGCATTGGTGGTAGGGTTGCCAGCCTCCAGGTGGGGCCTGGAGACCTCCCGCTTTTACATCTGATCTCCGGCTGACAGAGACCAGCTCCCCTGGAGAAAATGGCTGCTTTGAAGGGAGGACTCTGTGGCACTGTACCATGCCGAGGCCCCTCCCCTCCCCAAACCCCACTCTCTCCTGGCTCCTCCCCCAAAGTCTCCAGATATTTCCCAACCAAGAGCTGGCAACCCTAATTGGTGGTCACCCTACATTATCCCCCATGGGCGAGCTTGCTCCCCTTCCTTCCTTCCCTCCGGGCCAGCCCCTTTCCCTGCCACCGGCTCCCTCCCAGCCGCCAGTGGCTCTCTTTCCGCGGCGTCAGAGCTCAAAGACGCAACCGAGCCCCCAAATTTCCCCGCCACGGCCGAACATCTTTCCAGGAACTCCACTTCCTCCTCCGCCAACCTTCCATTCATTTGCATGGCACCGCCCCCCTCGCGGGCGGGGCCACGCAAATGAGCTGGACGCCCCGATAGGCTGGGCGCGGCCGGGAGCGCGCCGGGCGCTTTCGGGGCAGAGTTGGGAGCGTCATGCCGAGTGTGGACGGCCCGGCCAGCCGGGGTTGAGCCCTCCCGGCTCGACCCGTCGCGTTGCCCGCCGGAGCTGCCGGAGAAAGCCCTCGGGGGGACGATGGTCCCGGAGCGGAGCGAGGTGGCTTGGGCGCCGGCAGGTAAGCCAAGGGATCGCGGCGCGGAAAAGGGGCTTCTTCCACTCTCTCGCTAGATCTGGCTCTCTGCTTCTCTTTGGGGCTTCCCGGGTGCTCTGGAGGAAGGCTACGGCTTGTAGGGGCGAAGGACGGTGGCAGGGCTGCCGGCCCTTTTGACGGCGGCTGGAACTGAAGCAGGTGTTTGGGAGAAGTTGGAAAGCCCTTGGCGAAGGGAGTCAGGCTTTGCTGTCTGTCTGGTGCCCGGCTTTGGCGGCCGGTTTTGCAACACGGGGGTGGTGCGGCTGACAGCAGGGGCGATCCGAATCGGGTCTCCTCGGAGTCCTGCTGACTCCCAGGGAAGCGGGTTTTCCTTTTTGAATGTTATAACATTGCAGTGCAACTTCATGCGCGCGTATCGGGCGACGACGAGTTCCACTGAGCGCGGGGACCGCCGACTTCCGAGTGAACATTGATTTATTTAAAGCGTTCATCAGCCGCCTTTCTTCCCGGCAGAGCCCCAGACGGCTGACAACGTAGCTAAAATACACACATATGTATATTTTTTTAAGTCAACAGAAATGTAAAAAATCACAATTCAGGAGCGCTAGTCAACTTAAACACACCGTCTTCACATTGGCTTGGAGGTGTGTGTTGTTGCTGTTGTTTTTTTAAGATGTTCGGGAACGGGCGGGATTGTGAAACTTCCGCCAAAAGTCATGAATGCAAATTATCCCCCCCCTTTTTTTGAACAGAACGTAAACTTTAAAATCCTGCCAACCTAGCAGTTCGAAAGCAAGAAATTGCAAGTAGATAAATAGGTACCACTTCGGTGGGAAGGGAACAGCGTTACGTGCGCCTTGGTGTTTAGTCATGCCGGCCACGTGACCACGGAAATGTCTTCGGACAGCGCTGGCTCTTCGGCTTTGAAACGGAAATGAGCACCGCAGCCCTAGAGTCAGATTCGACTGGCTTTCGACCTTTACCTTTTTAAACTTTAAAAGCCAAAAAAAAAGTCTTAGCAAAGTTTGGGTTTTTTTGACAGCGCCGTGATCGAGGGTTTGTTCTTTCACAAGGGAGGATACGAAAAACCCCTTTCCTGGGAGTAAGCCCCACTGAATAAAAGGGGACTAACCACTGAGGAGACCTGTTAAAAGCTTCAATTAATTTTTGTTGCGTGGCTCACTGCGTGGCTTACACATTGCATCATTTTCTAGTTTTGTCATCCACCCTTGAGTCTGCTGGGGAGGAAAGAAAGATGAAATATAAATGGAAGAAGTTTAATGAATGAAAGCTCACCCTTTAAGAAAAACCTCACGCAATGACAAGGGAAAGGAGACCGGTTTCTCTATTTGCGTCTGAATCGTCTCGAGTGCGCCTATAAAAACAAGGATAAAGGAAGGGCGGGGGGGGGGGAACGTGCTGCACAATTAGGGAAGTTTGATAGTGCAGGGTGTGTGCACATTTGTGTTTGTTTGTGTGTGTCTAAATTCTTGGAGGAGGTTCCAGGAAAGCGG